CCCTTTTCAGTTTCTTTCAAAGACAACGAGAGTTTTCTCTATAACCAAACAAATATACACACCAGCGAAACCAAACTTCTACTATAGGTAGGGCAATGCCCACTTTTGGTGCAGGTCAAGATTTCTGGAAACTCCCGAAATCTGGGTTAGCCCGCGTGTCCTTAAAAGCGACCATTTAGGAGGCTGGCAGCTCCAATCAGGCAGAGACAGACACAATGTTTCAGCAAACATACAGGGGATGTTCGATTTTATTTCTTTTAAAAACTTCCCCACATTTGCACTGAACTCTCATCTGCGCCACACCATAGCGAAGAGCCTACCTACTACACCACAGACAGACGCTGCTGGACCAGAATAACATTTCAGAACCCCAAATAACATTTCAGAACCCAAATAATCCATACAGTCTATCAAGCATGTAAGAAATGATATATATCGAAATCCTATAACTCTGATGGAATAACATAAACATCAATTCAATTGTTAATAAAAATAAAAATATCCAATTTTGATTAGCACAATGGCATGTGTTATCAATTCCCTCGTCTTGATTAATTTTTTTTAAAAACAACTTTATCGAAATATATGAGAAAATAAAAATTCATGATTCGATATACTCAGTTGTGGAGGAAAGGTGCTTGTGTGTGTGTGTGTGTGTGTGTGTGTGTGTGTGTGTGTGTGTGCGTGCGTGTGTGTGTGTCTTTGTGTGTGTGTGTGCGTGCGTGCGTGTATGTGTGTTTGCGAGCGTGTATGTGTGAGTGTGTATGCATGATTGTATGTGTGTGGATGGGAAGAGGGCATTCTTTTGGGTCCAAAATTACACCCCAGTCAAAGGAAAATCAGCCACATATGAGTACAGTATAACACGGAAAGGTCAAGAACAAAAGACTTGATTGAAATCATGCATCCGTCGAACTGAGCCTGCGGTCCCGTTTTTTCTTCTTCTTTATCTTTGTAAGATATGCCTCGAACTACAGATTCCTCGAACTACCGAGGCCGGTCCCGACGAATTCGAGCTATCCGTGTTATACTGTATACCGTAGACTTAAAGATTATTTTTCTTCTGAGTAGTGAAAACTGTAGTAAACTACACTGGAGACCAAGAGAGAGGGCTAAGAAAAAGAAAAAGAATTTACCTGCCCGAACTCCGGTTTCCTCAAAGACTTCTCTCTCTGCTGTGACCGCTGGGGAAAAATTGAGTACTGAGTTATTGTTGTTTTAGTAAGGTTTTACGGAGATCGCAACTGCATAAGGTCATAAAGTCATATGAGTGCCAAGGGGTGGATGTCAACAGAGAAGTCCAAATGGGGAATCAGGCTTACTCTGCTCAGCTCTCTAGCCTCAACAGCACTAAGTCTGCTTCAACTATCAAGGGACCCTAGAAATAGCGGTTCACAAGAGAGAGACAAACATACAAAAGAAGATGAGGGAAAATGACGACAGTAAGGATGAGGAAAGAAAAAGCAGCAGTTCCCCCTATGTGGTTCCGGCACAGTATGATCATGACATTGATGAATCAGCCCATTTACAATTCTACTGTGCATAAGAACAAGTTATCCCACCTTCTCCCCATACCTCTTTTCCTCCCTGGCAAAACCAACATTTCAGGTAATAAAGTGGGGCATGTAATGTTTGCTGCACTTCCATCAGTACCAAGCAAAATGAGTAATTTTATAGCTGATCAGTTTCTGAAACTAGCACAGGAATGATTGTGCTATTAAATGGATTTGTCAATTAGGAATGTGCACTTACAAGTGAAAATAATTATATAGGAATTATTTGTACCACAGACCTGTCAAAGTGCTTTAAGGGGATCATGCTTTTATCTAGAGTGCTATTAACTGGTGGCCATTGGTTTTTTGTTCTTTTTTTGTTCTTTTACCCAAAAAGGGACCACTTTTAAGCAATTAATTCAGTAATTTCTAATAAGAAATGTGAAGACAAGAAAATCAAAATTTTAAATGAATCTTTGAATAGCTGTGCTGTCATGGTATGTATGTATCGTCGTCGTCATTGTCATTGTCATTGTCATCATCATCATCATCATCATCATCATCATCATCATCCTCCTCATCATCATCAAAAGACAGACAACCGACTCACCAATATCTTCCCCCAAGTCAGATAAGCCACCAGGAAATTTCCACAGGGAATGCTGTACAAAAAACCAAAAAAACCAATCAAATCAAACATCATCTCTGCTTCAACACAGATGCAAACAGGTGAAACTAACTGCTTGCTAAAACTGTTAAATAAAAGCAATGTGGTTCCAATAGTCAGAGTTTGATATGTCCCTTCCAAGTGACAATCTCTTATGGCTTCAATCATCAATGGCTTTCACCCCTGGCAGGGTATAGGCCACATACAAGCTCCTTCCATTTCTCTCTATCCTGGGCCGTCCTTCCACCCTGGCAGGGTATAGGCCACATACAAGCTCCTTCCATTTCTCTCTATCCTAGGCCATCCTTCCTAGCTCGTTCCAAATGAGCTTCATCTCTCTCATGTCCCTTTCCACGCATCTCCTCCATGTTTCCCGTGGCCTACCCCTGTCTCTATAATGTTCAAAACGATTAACTGACATAAAAAGTGGTCTTTTCTTGTTGTGTATCAGAGTGGTAACCACATTGAGCTGTTCTTTTAAAGACCCCCTTATCCCTATTCACCTTTCAACAAGTCCAGCAAAGTTTAAACTCTGAATAAAAACAGAATCTGCTCACAACAGGGACTTTGCTTTAGTCTAAAACATGCATCTTTCAGGTCTATAGTTTTGTATACAGTTAATCAGGCAGACTTTCCAGCTGTAACTCACAGTAGTGACATCAAATCTATTAGTAAATATGTACAAATGACAGGACAATTCTGGGAACATGATACATACACACTGACGATGAAAATTTATAGACAAGACGTTCTAATTCACTAATTATTTTAATCGTTTATGATTCGTTCTCTCTGTAAGTTATAAGACTAGTTTTTGGGGGGTTTTGGGGGCACATATTATTATAAGCACATTTACATTATGAGTGTGTTTGTGTGAGAGTGTGTATATGAATGAATGTGTGTGTGTGTGTGTGTGTGTGTGTGTGTGTGT